CATAAGAAGCTTATAGCTTCCAACACAATCGAACTAAACGAACTGGTATAAACTAAAAACAGTATCATCATTTATTTAAGATACACCCTTCACTAATAATGCTCTGTAATTGACCAATGCAATTCATCAATTTTGAATTATTATATCTAATAAAACTATGTTAAGGGAAAATAAATATTGATATAATATATACTTAGTCTAAATGTTTTAAGGGAAGTAATTCGTCGAGTATGCTTTTAATAAAATGCATAATTTTAAGATGCTTATTTTTCTAGGTCAAATTGCTAACCATAAGATAGCATTGTTCACGTTCAGGTTATTGCAATACTAAAATACAATCAAAACTAACACAGTTACTGCAAAAATAATTCAATTTGCCTTTTAATTTCTCCTCATCTTTCATTCTTTTTTGTGTGTTTCTTTTCTTTTTTTGGTAAATGTCATCTAAATGTGATTTATTATGTTCCACTGTGAGCCAACAAAATACTATTTTATGTGTTTTAAATATGAATATGATTTCAGAGAGTATTTCAAACATGTCAATTAAAAATGATTTATTTTAACAAGACGGGAAATGAAAGAAGAGGAAACTTCTTTCAATTCAAAGAAAGCAACAACTAAAATCTAAATGACATCGGATATTTCTTCAAAATTAAATTTGAGGTTCCATTAGTTTGAATTAATTCTAAGCGTTTTTAGGAGTGTTGAAATGCTACATTTTTAAAAAGGTGTGTTTACATTCTTTGTTGAAAAATGTCTTCATAAAAATAACATGCAATTTAATGTAATTCATGCAAATATTTGCAAGAAACGAGAAAGAAATACTTCTCTCTGAAGTTAATTCATTTATTCAGGGGAACTATTGAGTTAAACATTTATATAAGTTGAATATCTAAATAAACTTGAGAACACACACACACACGCACGCGCGCGCACGCACACACACATATTATCTTTATATACATATGCACTAAGACTTTCCATGATTGCTTATGTTACACGATTGATATATTTGAACCTTTGTTTAAAAGGCATGTACCTTAATCCGAAGGTATTTTCTGCATTAATGTATTGCGATAACTTGCAGTATTAATTATTAACATGATAATAACATCAGACTATGTTATATTTTGTTCCCCAAATGTGTTTGTTTATGCACATCAAGATTGTGTTTAAAATTGTAAAAAGCTAATATATCTTATGAAATATCTTTGATAAATTAATAAAGTAATTGCATTTTATAGTCTATGTTTTATGCTTACGCGCGTTCACCGACTTTACAGCTATTACCCCTGGTCATCGGGCTACTGGTATCTATCTATCAATCTCCCTGGGGAGTCTTTTAACTCCGCTTAGTGCAGCCGACACTTTGGCGCAACGGAATTTTACCACCCTCGCAGGTACCCATTTACACCTTGGTGAAGTGAAGCAATCGCAGGTAAATTTCTTGCTCAAGGAAATGAGCAGTGCATCCGGTGGGGTTCGAACCCGGGACCTCTCGATCCCTAAGCGCGCGTCCTACCACTGGACTACTGCTCCTACAATAGAAGGTGAAATTGTGTTGTTTCCATACAAGAATTAAGGTCACTTCTCGAACGAGTTGTACCATTAAATTTGTTATTCCACACATGAATAATGTCCTAAAACAGAATCAAATGTTTCGGAACAAAATATTATTCTGCTATTTTAAGTCCAGTTTAAGCCGCATAACGATGATCGATTTCGAGCATGTACCATTCTCGCTCAAGGACCTATAAAAACCTTTTTCTTTCAAATATTGTTTTTTTCTTCAAAATTCAAACATTAATTCTGTAAACTACCGGCAGCAGATATATGGCTTTAAACATTCTAAAATACTGTTTTCTCAATTATAAAAGGTAAAGGTCTTGTTTAATATAGTGTCACCTCTACTGAAAGGGCCAGCCATTTCTGACTTATGAGACACCTTATAATTGCATACCATGTACCTCCCATCTCCTACCACTATACCAGGCGCCAGGCGGATAGAAATCGGTAACCATTCATTTTAACTACCTCGCGGCTCATGAATCAAATATATTATTTATCAAAATAGACTTTTCCCAAATATAACAGTGCTATTATACTTTATATGTCATTTGCTATGCATATGCATACAATTGTTGTATAACAAAGGCTATACAGAGCAGTTTATATCGAGATTTTCTAATTATATACTCGGAAACGATTTCCATCACTTCAATTTGCAATCAAATGCGATAGGCAATCATATGACTCTGTTCAACATTGCAAAAATGGCTTCCATTTCTTGCCCGTGTCCCTCCCTGTCCTAATTGGCGACCTGCTGGGCACTTTTCCGGTGGTACTGTGCTGGGGGATGCGTTCTTTGAATGATGTCCTTTCTTGTTGGTTGCAGTGTTCGTGTTTTCTATATACAATAGGCCATTTAGATGATTTTAAACCTAAATTAAAATATTAATGGTAAATGCATGTTATTTTAAAATCATTTTATTTTTCCAAAATGACACTTTCATTCATGACTGAAGGAAAGACAAAATTTAATATGCATGCAAGGCAGAGTTTGATTTTGCACAATTTCCTAACCCTATTGGAGAAGGGAGTTATAACGAAAATAAAAATGCGCTCAGGTAAATAAGAAAATAATGCCAGAAACTAAACAAAATTGTAATTTTGAAAGTTATGAAGCCCGCAAATCAAAAGCAAGCTACCAAAAGAAAAATTCAAAAAGCAGGTAACATATCAATATAATTTACAACATTTCAATACATTAAAGAACATATCAATACTATATCAATACTGAGGAGTTTTATAAGTTTTAGTATGTCTGTTTTGTTTGTCAGTGTATTTACGCCGTGTTTAAGATAGTTTTGGTCATATCTCTGCCAGAAATTCTCTGAAAGTCACCAACAACTTTTGCCACATGATTTTTCAATCAGCGATGAGAGCAAAGTGCCCAACGATTTGTCTGTGAAGAAATTTCTTTAGCCAAATGTGCGAAGCAGCATCCCCTGCATTACCCATGCAATTCTCTCCTTATTCATTCAATAGAACTGATATTCTTTGGAGGATAACAGAAAATGAGACTAATAATAATCTCTTATCAAAGATATTGCATTTTATATAATGAGGAATCTTAAAAGAGAAATATAATACAACTTAACATGTAAAGACTGTCATGTTTGATCAATGGAAAGTGAAAGTGAAAAAAGTGAAGAAAAAAGGTGAAAGTGAATTTGAGCATTGGTAACATGACTTACCGTCTAAGTGAAAGTGAATTTGAGTATTGAATAACATGACTTACTGTATTTTTGTTTCGAGGAATAGGTAAAATATTAAGGTACTTTACTATTGGGTTAAATTATTAGAATATATGTGTACAACATATTCTTACTTAAATTTTTGGTTCTAACGTCCTTAGTCATAATTCATTTCAATGAGGCGATATCGACAATGTGTACTACTTATAATACCATATTTGCATTAACGTATTTCTTACTGTTTTCAAGATAACTTTGTAGTTACATTAGGCCGGATATATTGTATGTTTTATTATAGTATGTCTGTAACTATCAACTTGATTTTTACTCTCTGAGCCTTTTTATTATGATATCGTCTAATTTATTTGATTCAATGGACAGCGTGTCTACCTTAGAGACTATAAAGTAGAACATAACTTCTTTCTTTTTGATTATTTTATTGAGTCAATAAAAGAAGAGCATAAGCCAGAAATAAAACTTCTCACATCATGTACCTTACAGTATATGAACTGTCATAATTCTTACATAAACTACCAATATATCCGCCTTTAGTGTAAATCAATGGCACCATAATGCCACTTACTGTATTATTTTAATCGGAGAGACGAAGACTTTTGCGCAAGATTGTATCATTTTTGTTGTTAACCTTGTTTGAGGCATATTGTACCTAATAAGCCAATAAATATATAATCCGTTAGAAAGGACAAACATGAGTTTTATTATATTCAAATATCAGTATTAGAGCATGCCTGAACGAAGTAGCGATTAAGTGAAATTATCCGTCATAAAATTAGAAAAATGTAAACAAAGTAGTAATTTGACTTCAATACATAATATCAAATCACTATAACTGTTCTATTCGTCAAAGGCAACAGGAGTAAAAGATGAATCAGGAAAATATATAAATCAAAATTAAAAGACTTTTTGAGAAATAAAAATAAAAGCATTTCTAAGGCATAATGGGCCTGTAACATTGTAGTCATTTTATTGCTGGGATCATAATGATTATTAACTTGTATAGTGATTTCATATTCTGGTTTTCTGTATTCTTTATATTATTTAGAACAGTTAAACTGCAATGACATAATTGTATGTGTCCTATTATTGGGTAAAACAATTTATAAGTATCATTCTGACTTGATTCCATTCCAATGTTTTGAAATTTTCTAATGAATATGTTTATCAATTTAAATATTTACACTTTACAAATGATATAAATACTGCGAATTTGAATGTGTATATCTACTGAACAAAAGCTTTGAATGGCATGACATTTTGTTCACAAAGACAAACCACTAATGTATTTTGTTTATGCAGTGTATGGAAATAATAAATATGGGTTGTATTGCGTCCAAGAGCAGGCCGCTTAAAGTATTTTTGTGAACGTTTAATACGAACTATTTAAATATGTTCTAAATGGTATTCACGAAATTCGGTGTCATTTGTTAACTAAGTACATGTAGTAAACATACTGATAAATTTTCTTCAAAGAGGAAGAATTCCGAACAGAACTCAACAGATGTATTGTCAAATTTGAGGTCCAAAGTCCCAATGTTCTCTTTAGGTGAAGCGGATTAAAGGTTTTCACCCCAAAACTCGATTTTACGACATTTATTTAAGATATGATGGTCCGAAGCTGAATCCTACTAAACAGCCTTTTTCATTCAAATTTATATGTTGTAATAATGCAACGTGCACTTTAATGTTATAATGATAGATCTTAAGAAATATACAAATCTTCTAGTTTGCTTATAATAATTTATTTAACAAATATATGACATCATTTGCTTATGCTGTCAACGCTGTGCAATGTTTTCATATTAAATCATCTAGCAACCATGACCATGTCCGCCATTTTTATGAGAGTCTGGATGAACCTGTTTAAAAGAAAACAAACAGTTATAGCAAAATAATTGTCAACAAGAGATGATCTTAAATAATATTTATTCGGACGAAGTTCGTCTGTTATCAGTTTGACTGCCTGTAAAATTAACAGGGAAGGGCTGAATACAAAAAGAACTTTCATTGGTCAATCAGACATGCAAACTAATATCGTTAAATCTCACTAGTCATTCTTAAATAAAATGTAAAATACAGTTCTAACCATTTTCTAAAATAATAGGTAAAGGGTACTTCTTTCCATTCTAGAATAAGATTTTAGGGAAATAAAATATAAGGGATAGTTTTTGCCACTATAAAACAAAATGTAAAGGTTTGTTCTAAAACAAAATGTACAAGAATGAAGCTTGTTCTTTAACGTTTTGGTTAATTTGTATATGATACAAAATTTATAAAGTCAAACGTAAGAAAGGTAAAGAGACACCTAAAATAGAGGTTGACCTAAATTGAAAATTCATCAATATAAATATGCTATAGTTTAATTTCAATATTTTTTTAATTAGCTACTAGAAATAATTATTATGTCATAGTTATGCAAGCACTGCTAACATTTATTTTTGTATTGAAAACTTTGAAATAATATAATTTTGCATGCTAACCGATATTACTTCGGCCAAGTTTCATTTTTTTAAAGATACTTTTTGTTTTTCTTCTTGTTTTCATTATATTATAAATTGCATGCACAGATGACCCCATTTATATTTCATTGCAACATTCGTGATTTTATCACATAAAAACCTCAGCGCATGTGTTAAATAAAGCTTATGTACACTATAAATATATAGTTGCACCATTTATAATGAAGCCATTTAATGGAAACGATATTAATAATGAAATAACACTTTTGACGCGACGTCATTTTCGTTTTATATAAACATAGCGTTAAAGTATGTTAGCGTTACACTATATGCGCGTCAATGCAATATGACTCTGTTATGTGATAGAAAGAACATTGTATCCGTATCAATACTAAATTAATTAAATTCGTGACAGATGTGCACCATATTTTTTTTTCAAATCTGTCAATGTATCAAGTATTAAATCTACACTTATTCAATATCCTCTTTTCTTACTTGCATTCGTAAATGATAACGAGATTTTGATCCTTTATGTTAACTTATTCGTTTCAGAAATTTTCTTTTTCTTGTTTGTTTCTTCATATATATCGATAAGTTAGTGTTTTTAAGTATTATTTAATTATGGATTTGTTTGCATGAATGCTATATTGTGTTAATTATAGTAGAATATCCAAGACCTAATAATTCTAAACTTAGCATCAAAATAAAGATCCATGAAAACTATAATATTATTGTCCGTAATTTCTACTTAAGACGCTCAATAATTTAGACATTTTCATGGTATATACAAACCTCCAAACATAGTATGAAAATATTTTGTGTCTTTTATCATCTCTTTTTAATTTATTATCTAGAGGTTCGTTTTTGTATCAATGCTATTCACAGTGAAGATATTGCCACTGAACATTACACAGCGTGTTTTATTTAGATTAAAGACGATATTAAAAGAAATTCATTCAACGATTGTTAGAAAAAAGTAATAGATTAAAAGAAAACAGTCAACGATGACTTACAGCGTGCATGAATGCATTCATTTCTGCGGGTTGTATTTGTCCATCAGCTAGAAGAGGTAATAATAATAATAATGATAATAAAAATCATGATTATAATAATAATAATAATAATAATAATAATAATAAAAATAATAATAATAATAATCTTTCTTATTACTTTTGTGTCGGTTAATACTCATACATGTGTTTTCTAGAGGATTTTGGTACGATTTACTTGTAAAAAGGCAAAGGCAAATGAGTGTTCCTTGCTAAAATGAAACTGCCAGACATCTTAATAATTCATACTTATGGTCTAAAAAAAGGAAAATAACAAGAACAAACATATACCTTGATCTTGAAAAGAACTTTTATTTTCATGTATGTTTCACTTTTTATTGTGTTCAGTTGTAAAACGAACATATTGGGATGAGATCGTTAACCATCAAGAAATTTTACATCTACTTAATATGTTTTACAATAATTATTTTCACTTACTTGGGTTTTGATCGTACTTAGCAATTTGTACCGCAACATCAGAAAAGCACAGTTGCTTGTCATTATCAAGGTCGAGGTTATTAAAGAAGGCATGTGAAGTGTCATGGTGGTCGTGAAAAGTTAATGCCCAGTTCTTAGTAAAATCATGATAGGACAAACATGTTCCATCTAAAAAACATAAAAAACTATATTAGTACTGTTACCTATTACATATGTGCACGAACTCCAGGCTTGATTGAAACAGTATTAATATTCTTAATACAATTTGCAGCTTTGATCGAGTAAGCATATTGGAAACAATAGGTTGGTGCAAAAAAATCACGTTAAGCATAACTGTGCATTGATCTACAAAAATAAGCAATCGAGTTATATTCCAAACTTATGCTGAACTTTTATCATGTAAATTAAACGTATTCGTATATAATGTTTGTTTTTTATTTCTGACTATAAATCAAAGTTCTTGGAAGGAATGTGCGCTATATAAAACTTTAACTTGTGAACAATGCTATGAAATGTGAACAATTGTACGAATTCGTTTCTTTCATGATTATATGTTATGAACAATTATTCAAACTGAATCATATTCTTGTTTTTCATGTCTTAAAAGTTTTAACAAAATGTGGTACGTAAAACACATAATAACTATAAATGTTTATAAGATGAAAGAAAAAGATTAACATATAATTCAACTTCTATCTTTGATTCACTTAACAATGATATTGCTCATGTGCACCACCCCCATTATGAGATGTTGAATTATTCTTACTAGTACCAAAAAATAATGGTGTGATTTCAAAGTTATCGCTTTTATTGAGGGCAGCTTGAAAGTTACAATATTTTGTGACTTTAAACCCAACAAAAGAAAACAACAACAATAAAAAGAAAAAAAAGCACAATGAAAACAGCATTAAAAACAGAAATTGAATTATGTGACATTATGAAGTAGACAATGATGACAAATTATCTTTGGCTGTATTACTGTATGCCTAAATTACTCTATTTTTCCTCTTGTTTGAAATTATGAAAAGGGAACATTATCTAGAACAATGAAAAATCTTTCTTGGTGAAACATGCAAACTTGTTTTAATTCCAACACTTGATGATTATTTAAATTGTAACACTTATTTCACTTTGCACCTGTTGTAAATGATTATACAAAAAAGCACTCTAAAAGTGTCAAAACTAATGGTAAAAACTAGAGAAAATCATTCAGAGGTATTAAGACACAAAGTTTTTAGCAGTTTAAGTTACTAAAAGCATTTCAAACTTAAAGGTGTGAAATTATACTAGCAAAAAGTAGAGAGATTCCCAAAGAGAACTTGAAACGAAGTTTATAGGTGATAATTGTATACACAAACAATTTACAAATGTTCACGGGGAGAGCATCATTAATGCTTTACATACTAGACAAATTCCAATCATTGAGAAGTTCGTCAGTTAATTCACTTTGTTGAACGATACCATCTTTGTTTACGTCGGCAAGTTTTACAAGCTCGTCTGAAATTCGATCCACAGACCAGCACATATGGTTGGCTCTGCAATGACAAAATAAGTAGCGTACTTCCAAACATGATTCAGCCTAAAACCAGTAATGTGTAAAATATTTTACAAAAATTAGTTAAATTTTGAATTTAATAAAAGGATATACTATTATGGGGATTGAACCACATATAGATCTCCAAATTTAGCATCGGTTAAATATGTGTAAATTTTCGCTGTTCCAGATGTGCGCTTTAACTCAATATAACTGTCAATAAGAAAATAGGTATATCACATGGTAAGTTTTCTACTTTTTGAATCATTTAATAAAAATTATAGACTTTTTAAAGAAACTCGACATGTAATTCTACCCTCCGGGCTTTGTTGGTTTTTGGTAAGCCACAAAATAGGCTATGCGGATGAAGAAAATGTATCAAATCGGACTCCAAATACAAAGTTTTCACAAAATCTTATCACCAAACGATTCTCATTATGCAAACAAACACTTATTGAAACATTCATGAGATTGGGCTCAAAATTGTGACTATGCGCTTCTTTTTGTAATATATTTATATTGCAGAAATGTTTTGAAACCAAAGAAATTCTTACAGAATATGTGTTATTTGAAAATAAAAAAATGCAGATGCTATCTTTGAGAGCTAGATTTCCTAATACTGGGTCAAATTCATTTCCAAGTTTAAGTTCTATTCCCAAAAATCTGCCAATATTTTAATGACACCATGTACTCATGCAGTCTTTACCTAAAGTTTGTTATGCATTTATGAAAAGGATTATCAATGGATCGATTGAGATTGACATATATGTAAACTTACCCATATGCGAAACCGATCAACACTGTAAGAATTGCTAAACTCTTCATCTTTAAAAGTCAGGGTCTGCAAGTAGGAAAATGTTTATTTGCATTATTCATGTAATCCATTTTTTATTTAAGCCGTGAGTCGTATTTAGCTTCAATCTTTTATTTATCCATTTTTCTATTCTTTATAAGTTTTCCGATAATGCATTATTGAATTTAACTATTCAATTATTTGTGACAGTTATATATTGCAAAAGCAAAATTTATCTTTCTTTTTGTATAAGTAATATTGAACAATTTTGCATCTGAATATTTTATACGTTAAAAGTTAGTACGAAAACGTTAAGGGCATTTAGTGCGATCATGGTGTGTAAGACGACTGAATTTTGTTCTATTTGATCAAATGTTTTAACACAAATCAATTCATTTTATTCACAAAGACTAGACCATTTTAGTCACTCTTGGTCACTTTCTTAAAATGTTTGAAGTTTTAAGACACGTATTTTACAATAGACGAAAAGGTACTCTTTCGCCTAAACAAAAACTTCAAGCATATCAAGAAAGAAATTTGAATAAAACAAATTGAGTTCTGTTCAAAAATCTGATTAAATGGAATAAAAATCAGTTGACTTACAGATCAAGATGTCACTTATTTGAGGCACTTTTAACGTTTCCGTATGTAAGTGTCTTACTCGACGTGTGAACAGTTTACAACCTGTACAGGAGAACTTCTTTAAAAGAAATGACGAAAATCTCTTTAAAATCACGATTTTATGTCATGACAAAAGATAATGGCTTACATTACCTTCAACTTCTGTACAGTAGTTCCATTAACCCCGTTATCAACAAATTTAGTATATTCTGTATGACTTTACTTTGTGATGTAATACATTAATAACTTTAATAATGATCCATTGAAAAATAAGTTTAAATGGCTGATAAGTAATATTCTTATCCCTTAAATACTGAGAAGGGCATCATCTTATGTTGTAAAACTTGTTGCCCAACCCATCTGCTTTTTGATATAATACTCACTATTGATACAAAATGTTTGTTAACAGTTTGATGCAATAAAATATGTTTAAACTAAAATACATTGTACTGACCATATGTCCAATAATTGTCAAAATTTGATTTTCGGAGAACAATTTATAAGTGAAAATTCGGTAAGGCTTTTAGGGTTAGCATACTCCTCATCTTTGCAATATTAGATTTTTCAAAATTTATATACATTATTATAATTTTATAGACAATGGAATAATTATAATTTTATAGACAATGGAATAAAAGTTGACTCGTGCAAGCCGTCAGATTTCAAGTCGAAATTATGTAACATTCAGTGGCAAAGAATTATTCTTTTGCAAAGCGTAAGAAACATTTCTCCGTCTACTATGAATCATCGCCTTGTTTGACATTTCATGCTCCTATTTGATTTGATTTTACATTTCTGAAGTGCTTAAATATGACTATTGAAAACTGCTTCATTTTCGAAACAATACTCTGCAGCAAAAATGGTTATACGAGTCGGCGAATGGCGATAAGAGTTATGTATGCCTTCAACTGGACCATTTAATCTGACCAATGACTTTATAACTGATAATCTACTTGTACGCACACTCAACTTCTATATGCTACATATATATCATATTTCTGTTTATAATTGAAGACAGTCACGTACAGTCTTTATAGCAATTTCAATCTGTTCTCATTCTACCAGATAACATGACAGGTCAGTGAAGACACAATCAGAAAGTAAAACTGATTGCAAATCTCTTATCTTTTTTCTGTTAAAGGCCATCACCTTTGTATTTTTGTTTGTTTGTTTACATGACAAAACTTAGAATAATTATTATATACTTTAATTACTATCGTGATTTTTATAAAACTGAATACGTTTCATTTGATCAAAAAATGAATAAACTATTTAATATGGGAAGCTGCGATTTCTGAGCAAAGTTGGTATTTTCCTCAAATAATTTCAGTTTTTTAAAGAAACTACATATCGATATTGTTTTAAGCATATCTTCTTCGTACGTTTATTAATGTTTACCAAGAGACTTCTTAAGAAATATCAACATTTTCTAATATCTGAATTGACCATAGTATATCTTTAACTAAAAACCGTTCTAAGATGTTTGTCATTTGTTTAATGGTTTGCCCATTTTACATGCCCTAGTGTATCTATGTCAGACTTTCATTGGAATCAGTCTGCAATTTTCAAGTTATTTTGTTGTGATTAATACTTCCGAGGGATCATCCTTCATCCAGATTTCTTTACTTATTAACAGAAGATCTCTTAATTGTTGCTATATTTTCTGATCCTTCCATCACATTTAAGTGTTGGAAATTGAGTACCGAAAAAGCTGGTGCTAGGGGTGCGTCAGGGATGTTACACTTTTTTATTTTCATTAGGGACAATGAAAATACGATTTTATTCTATCAAACTCAATCTTCAGTTTTCATGTAATTTGTTGTGATTAATTAATTAAATGATACCTCTCCAAAATTAACATAATTATGTTTTTAGACCTTTTTGACATCGATGGAGTTTCTTTTACCTATATTTAGATTGTCTTATCGTCAGAAGGTTTATCCCGTTTAGTTCAAAATCTTAAAATGTTTTCTCATTTGTTGAGGTAAATGATTACATTTGTAGATCAGCTAGTCAAACATTTTCACTAATTTAACCTACTGTTGTGTCATTATTGTCTGACCGCATGTTAAAACTTTTGAAAGTTTGAAATTCTTTCCCAAGCTTGTTTTTTTGTTAATTTGTTAATAATATTACTGAGTGTATTCAATGCTTTTTTGTGACCAATCACCAGACTTAGCCACGTTAATGTAGGAAAATTTTCAAATATGCTACATACAATAGCTATATTTTACAATATATGTAAACTACATATTTGAGATGATATAGACTTTCCCTGTGCCTGTTCCAGATTTTGTTTGGTGTCCTGCTTGGCTCCTTGCTGATGTGACAGGGTCATGTTGGGTTCATTGAAATAACCTCTTTGTTGATGTTGTCTTTCATATTTTGAGCCAATGAAAGCGTATTTAGACAAGTTAAACTTGCAAATACTTAAGACAACAGAAAATTAAGATAATCATTTTTTGGTATTTTGTCAATAGCCTTTTTATAAAGCTATACGATAAAGCGTCAAATGTTCTTTGCAACCTACGAGTATTCATTACGAAAATATTAAAAAGCACTTGGAAATTTCATGAACAATTTGACACGAGAGGGAAGGAAAGCTCAAGGGGTAATACTACAAACACTTAACCACGGATACCTGTATTTGTCCGTGTCAAGTGAATCAAACAATCTATACATATTTTTTTTTATTCAGCACGATGATCCTTAACAAAGGCGGCTCTATCATTTGTTCAATATAGTGTTTAATCAATTATGATTACTGTCGTTTCTACTTCAATTTGTCAGTTTCAAAACACATGCCTCAACTTGCCATGTCACGTCGTTCAATATGCTTTAAATCAATCTCCTCTGTTTAATATCATGCACAATAAAATGCTTGTTTAACACGATGGTTCATTAAGAATAGCATAAAATGGCTCGACAGACACAAACAGGCTTTGATAAAACATGGTTCATTGAGAATAGGATAAAATGGCTCGACAGACACAAAAAGGCCTTGATAACACGATGGTTCATTGAGAATAGGATAAAATGGCTCGACAGACACAAAAAGGCTTTGAAAACACGATGGTTCATTAAGAATAGCATAAAATGGCTCGACAGACACAAAAAGGCTTGGATAATACTATGGTTCATAAAGAATAGCATAAAATGGCTCGAAAGACACAAAAAGGCTTGGATAGCACGAGGGTTCATTAAGAATAGCATAAAATGGCCTCGACAGAAACAAAAAAGCCTTGATAACACGATGTTTCATTGAGAATGGGATAAAATGGCTCGACAGACACAAAAAGGCTTTGTGAACACGATGGTTCATTAAGAATAGCATAAACTTGCTCGACAGACATAACAAAGCTTGAATAACACGATAGTTCATTGAAAATAGGATAAACTTGCTCAACAGACATAATAAAGCTTGAATAACACGATGGTTCATTAAGAAAATGATAAAGTCACTCGACAGACACAAAAAGGCTTGGATAACACGATGGTTCATTAAGAATAGGATAAAATTTCTCGACGGACAACAAAATGCTTGGATAAAGGATAAAATGGCTCGACAGACGTATACAGACACCATTGTTACAACGGATGTTCAAGTTGATGAGGATTTTTCTCCCTTTGCTATTTGTGTGCTTACCCATTATTTTTCATTATCTATAACAAAATTATTATGGTCTCTTATTGTAATACTGTTTGAATGAAATGTTTGAACAGCTAGAGTGCATATAATACATGTAAACTTCTTATCTCTAATAGTGTTAATGCGAAACTATTCTCACATGTTGAATAAATAATTTTAAATGTATGTGTATGATAAATAGAGTAGTATTTGTTTATGCATTCAGTATTTTTAACTATAAACATATGCCAATGAATTGACATTTCGCCACAGAAGGGATCGCTCCGCCAACTGATTCACGAGATCCGGTCAGTAAGAACCTTAGACAAAATACGGTACCGATGTATTCGCAAAACGTTTATGTCACTAATGTAACCAATGAATTTACTTTAAATTATTTATGTATATATAAAATTTTCAAGCTTTTAATGCTGTTTTTGAATAGTAGATTATTATTGAATGTATAAATGTATTATGGTATTTTAAAATAAAAAGTAAAAAGAAAAATATCTGCATTCACATATTAATGACACAGGAAACGTTTTCCAAAGGTCGTGTTATTTCTTGTTGACTTCAATGAAAATTTAAAACTTGACAAATTATCATTATATCTGATAAATTCAAATAGAGAGAATATAATAAATTATGTAGAACAGTATATGATTATGTTATGATCATTTTATTTTGAAATAAAAGTAGCGAAACAAAAACAGTAAAATTTTATTAGTGACAAAAAAACAACATTTTTTCGGATTTTATGTGCACAATTCAGTTTAGATAATACATTGTACATTAATTTGTTCATGAATTATTAAATTGATTCAGAAAACTGCATACCCTTGCTTATTTTATGATATGTGATTACGTATTGTTAACATACATTTGATATGATATGATTAAAGGCAAAATACTGTGTTATTCTCTTTACAATAAACTTCACATACATCAGACATGATGTTTTTTGGTTTATACAGAATTTATTTTAGTTCGATTGTGTAGGAAGCTTTAAGCTTATAGACACACTTTCGAATCCGTTCCTGGGACCAACCAGTACTGAGCAACGAGTGTAAAGTTTCTTGCTCAAGGAAACAACGACTTGCCCCTGACGGGGTTTGAACCCATGCGGCTAGCGAAACTATCGCCAAATCAGTTCTTCTACAAGCAGATATCAATCAGAAAGGAAATATCACGCTGTAAATGATGTTATTTGTATTAGTTTGGTATTAAGCAGATCTATTTGAATATTTAATCTTAATTTATTGAACTTTAATAGAAATATTCAGGTTAGATAATCTCACCCATCGTCGGATATCCATGGCCGAACCAATAACATTTATCTGCGGTGGGATTTTTTGCCAATATTCAGTCGATTAGGGGTGTGTCAAAGGCAGCTATTTCATTGGCTGCCTCACGATTTCATGAGGCGATTAAAACCAATCA